AGTAGGAATATCATTGTTAGAAATAAGGCCTTAGAGAAATAAAGCCTTCTAGTTAAAACCGAAACTAAGCTCGGAGTGAAGAATCGTTAATTAGGAGGGCACAACGCACTTCAGTAGCACGTGGGCACTGGTTCAGTGATAGAAACAACTTTTAAACTCTTAGTAATCCATACTCCACCCATCAGGGATCCTATTGGTCTAGTTCATCTGAGTTACACCATCGCATGTTCGACCATATTCTATTAACTCCGCCCACTTCATGGGTCCCATGTTAAAAATGGCGACTGTCTCTGCTGTTGGGGTGTGTCAGTTCATATTCAATAAGCTTATTAAGCAAGGGCAGTGGAGAAAAGCCTTTGCCCGGTTGAAGCCCTGTGCTTGAACCCGGCTGGTTGCAACCGGTTTAGCCTCTAGGGCTCTTTCTTAAGAACTAGTTGTTTTTGGAGTACTTTCTGATTGGTTGAGGGACTATCCATACGATCTTGGAATTTCTTATCCTGCTGTGGAAGCCTAACCCCCTAAAATCTTTCTTACATCATTTTGGCAACTTGGAGAGGGGGAAGTATGGGAGGCTGGAGGTAGACCAGTTAGGAGGCCCTTCCATTAGTATAGATAAAAATCGATAAGGATTTGTACCAGGGTGGTGGCCATGTGAATGGAGGAAAGAGGACAGATGGGAGAGATGTTGTGGAGGCAGAATTATTATCTTGATAATTGGTTGGATATGGGGGGAGGAGGAGGGATAAGGAAAGTGAAGAGTCAAAAAAGACCCTGAAATTGTGAAAATGAGTGATTGGATAGATGGTAGTACCCTTGATAGAAATTGAAAAGTTAGAAAAGATTAGTTTTGAGGCAAAAAAGTGATGAGTTTTGTTTTGTATATGATCCATATCATTTTCTATATGGTTAGTATTTTGTGATCCTTCTTTTAAAACTGTTCATATTATTCATGTTAATTTGCATCTAGATTTTAACTAACCCTTGCTAGTGATTTGTCTAATTTTTTTTAAATCAATGTCAGATATTTTTAATAGCTACTGCTATGTGATATGAGATCGTTTTCATTTTTTATTCTTTCTCTTGAATTTTAAAATTTTTGTTCTTCCAAGTGAATTTTGTAATTGTTTTATGTAGTTCTATATAGTAGCCATTGGTAGTTTGGTATGGCACAAATTTAATTTAGATAGTAGCATAATTTTTATTGTCTGGTGCAACCAGGTCACAAACATTGATTTTCTCCAATTATTTAGACTTTTATTTATGTAATAGTCATTTTGTAGTTGTATGTTTGTGTGTGTTTAAATATGTAAACCTGTTTTGATAGGTTACAACCATATATTTTATGGATTTCAGTTATTTTGAATGGAGTTTCTTTTTCTAATAGTCCTAGTTTTTGTTAGTAATGTGCAAAATGCTGATGGTTTTTGTTTATTTATTTTGTATTCTACTCCTGAAGGAAGTTCCTCATCTGTTTCTTTGCTAATTCTCTGGCGTTTATTGCGTAAACCCATTATCTGTAATTGTCTCTCTACTTAGAATGCTATTTCTTTCTGGAGAAAATTGTGAATTAGTTTGTAGGATTTTGTCACTCAGTCCACTCCCCACAACCCTTCCCTGGCCAATCAGCCAACACACACACACACTCACACACACACACACACACACACACACACACACACACACACACACACACACACACACACACTGTCTCTCTCTCTCTCTCTCTCTCTCTCTCTTTCTGTCTCTTTCTGAATGCCAGGCATATGCAAGGTTGGATTCACATAGCTCTCCACACCTTCTAATCACCTGTTATGTTCTATTTTAATTGAAGTTTGCATGCCTCTCTTACCTCCCCAACTAGATTATAAACTCCTTAAGGTTATTTTGTCTTTGTTTCTTTCCCCATCCCCACCCCCATTCCAATCTCTTGTACTACATACATGTACAGGAAATAGATATTGCATTGACCATAAAGAAGGGAAAGAAAAAAGAAAAAAATGAAGCGTATCTTAATGTTATTTTTCCTAACTATGTTTTAAGAATACTCAGTCTCTTTTATACTAAAGATTGACGACTTCTCAGCTATTTCCACATGTTTGCTCCCTATCCAAATCAGTTTTCTTTTCTTCTTCCATTCCCCAAACTTCTTGATTCATAACATACTTAGAGCTTTAACCAAAAAAGAGGCTTTTCCTTGATGCATCTATCTCACATAGTTACTTTCCCATATCTTTACTCTCCTTCACTGCTAAGTTTATTGGGGGGCAAATTATTTTCACCAAATGTCTGTATTTCCTCACTGTCTGCTCTTTTCACTTCTGGCAGGAAAAATCCAGCCTTTCATATACAATTCCCAGAGTTGTTGTGAGGATCAAAGGAGATGATATTTGTAAAGTGCTTAGTATAGTGCCTGGCACATAGTAGGTGCTTAATAAATGCTTCTTCTTTACCACTTATTTAACTCACTTCCAAACAGATTTTCTTGACTGCTTTCCTTTTATCTTATCTACTATCAGAATGATCTTTTACCTGCAAAGATTTGGTCTGTACTTGTCTGCTTAAAGATCTTCAGTGGCTTCCTATTACTTAACTGAATGAAAAGGTCAGACTCTTTTGCCTGACACTTGGGGTGAGTGCCACCCTTCTTTCTGCAGCCACCTTTCTTTCCAGCTTTATTCCATATCACTCCTCTCCCTAAACTTTCTGCTATCTGACCATTCTTTCTGTTCATACTCCTTTCTCTCACACACCCTATTTGTCTTAAGCACACTGTTTCCTGTGCCTAGAATATTCTCCCTTTCTCTTTTGTCCTTTGGAATTTCTTCCCAACCTTGAAATATTCCGTCTGATCTCCCTGCTTTATAAGGACCTGTGATCTGGGGTTTCACAAAGCACTTTGTTGGGTAGCTTTCTAGTGCACCTATAATATAATATTGAATATTACAGTTATCTGTGTTTATGTTTTGTTCACCTAGGCTTAGAAGCTCAGTGAGAACAGGAATTGTCTTACCTAAACTTTGTAGCTACCCCAGAGTGTTAGCACAGTACTCTGCACACAGTGCTTCTTAACACAGGTTAACTGAGTGAATGAATGTAAAAGGGAGGGTGTCTGATTTGGGAGTGGTCTATTACTTGTCATCAATAAAATCCTTGTTGGTGAGACAAGCCCATGAGGCTCTGTGCTCAATAATAACTTGAAAACCTCTCTTAGAACATATTTGGTATGTAGCAGATTTGTTCTAATGCATTGTATTAATTCTGTGACAGGATCTTAGTATTAAGTGGCTCAGTATGTCCTTGAGACTAATCTTGTCATTCTTTTTGTCTCCTGTCTTGCCTTTTTATATGCTGCCTTCCATCTTCCTCAGTAGGTAAACGCTTGTCACCTCAGCAGGATAGAAAGCAAGAAAGTTCATTCTGCATTTGGTCTTTAACATATTCTACCTTTATATAAATGTTTCTCTTTTATTGTATATGTTGTTTCTTTCCATATAGAGTGGAAGCTTCTTGAAGTTAAGGAATATGTCTTAGACCTCTATATATACTTAGCATCTTCTATAACCAGATATTCAATAAATGTTTATTCATGGTAAAGAAACAGTATATTGATGATAGAAGCCAATAAATGGGAAAGGAATATATTCATCAAATATAATTTCCAACTGTCTTTGAATTGGGGGGGAGTATTTATCAGATGAAAAAGTAACAGATAATTGGATCATAACCCTGAAGCTGGAAAGGGACTTAGAGGTCATGTTGTCCATCATCCTTTTCTCCCTGACCTCCTCCAATTTTACAGATGAGGAAACTGAGGCCCAGAGAGATTGTTACTTGACCAAGGTTGCACAGGTAGTTATAAGAAGCAGAATTTTAACCCAGGTCCTCTGAATACAGAAGTAGTGCTTTTTCCACTGTGCCATAAAGGACTGAATTATTTTGTTTCTGAATTTTTTAATTTTTTTTTATTTTTAGGCAGTTGGGGTTAAGTGACTTGCCCAGGGTCACACAGCTAGTAAGTGTCAAGTGTTTGGTCTGAGGTCAGCTTTGAACTCAGGTCCTCCCGACTCCAGGGCAGGTGCTCAATCCACTGCACCACCTAGCTGCCCCATTGTTTCTGAATTTTTAATGAGACTGAAAGTAAACTACCATTTTATAGCCAATGCTCTCTAAAATTAAAAAAAAAAACCTGACTATTCTTTGTTTACTTTTCAGTTTTGACATAACTATCATATCTTTGGGAATAGGTAATTTTCATTTATTCCTCTTCTACTAGTTTAGTAAAACTGACAATGTGCTTTTCTTTCAAAAACATACAGTTTGTAAGTTCTTTAATTGACTTTGTGTGCCATCTAGTATAGTGCTTAGCACTCCGGTAATGATTAACTTAGAATCACATATGAAAAGTGAGTTTGGGAAGATGCAGTTTTTTTCTACTAAATTGTGTTGGTTTCAAGTGTTTACATTTGAGTAGATGAATATCAATAGCTGTTAACAGTAGGGGACAATTCTCAAAAGGCCTTCTAATCTGTCCAGATTCAGTGATCTGAAGCAGTTGTTGTATTAAGGCCATCCCTTGAATTTCCATTAGCATTTTGTACCTTTCATGTGGTACTTTCAAATTTTATCTTGTCATTATAGTGATTTTGGAGACATGCCTTATCTCCCCTTTTAGATTACAGTTTCTGTGAGGGCAGGAATTGGACTGCCTTACCTTACTAGCTCCATCAATAGACATCACACACACACACACACACACACACACACACACACACACACAGATAGATAGTACAACTCAGTATATAATTTTGACTGTTCACTTAACACTTTTTAAACTTTCTCTGGGAAGATAAAATTCAAGACTTTGATAAAAATAGACTATAAAAATAATCCCTCATAATATTTTCTTTGTGGTACAGTCAGGTCTGAGAAAAAAATATTTTTATTTTTTAAATTAACAATATATTTAAGTTTCACCTTGAGATGTTTGTTTTGTTTTACAGAAATAAGATTTCCCCTCCCCCCAATTGATGATAATGAAAATACAGAAGAAAGAGAAACAGGTTGGTGACTATATCTCCTTTGAATTACTGTCTAAAATATCTAGGTGTGTATTAATGGAATCAGTGCTGGCTGTATTGGACTCATTCTTAGAATAATTTCTGAGGTTGTCTGCTTGCTTGGTTCCCCCTGTTTGTATAGTGACTTAAAACTTAGCTCTGTGGGTTAGAGAGTCTCTACTGGGTATTTTTCTTCTTTATTCAGTACAACCTCGGAGGGGTAGAAAGATAATAATAACTGAATATATTTCGAATTATAATAGAGCAAAAGGAGTTGAGGGAAGAATTTTTTTCTTATTTTACTTATTTGACTGAAATATCGTTGCTTTTATGTGTAAGATGTATCTTATTTATTATGATTACTAATAGTGAGGCAGCATGACAAGTAGATAGATTTGACCTTAAAACCAGGATGATCTGGGTTCAAATTTTGCTTACTCATACTGGCTGAATGACCCTAGGCAAGCCCCTTTACTTCCCTATGCTCGGCAAGGGTATGCTGCAAAATGTTTAACAACCAGCGTGCCTGGCACACTTTTGAGTTTAATCTGCTTATTATCAACAAAGAATAATCAAGTCTTAATTTGTAGTTTGCCTGTCTGAGGTGTCAATGTTCACATTGAAAATTTTAGAGTTTGAGTAGGTTTTCATTAGCTGGGCATACCCTTTCCTGTAGGCAATACTCTAAGGCTAAGTTGTGGGAAGTGCCAACCTGTGTGGTGGATTGAGTTTTCTTATCCAGGAATTCTTTATGAGGCTGAAATCACAGATCCTGACCCTGTTCTCCTATTATTGGTTATTGTTTTTATATTTAGTTCTTGTTTCACAATTTTAAATGATTGGAGTAGAAAGAGATTAAGAGATGAGGGTTTGATACTAAGTTATTGAGATTTTTGGTTCAAAGTATCATGGTGGGAGTGAGATGCTGATATTTTGGTGGCTATTTTCTAGAGGAGATGAGTTAATTATAGGATTTGTTCACTGTAGTTATTGACCCAGCAAAATCCTTTGTACCTGACTGGGATCTTCTAATTGTGGTCAAAAGAAAACTGAATCTTTGATTCTTGGGGTTGGGTATGTAGAATAAGAGCATCCTGGCCCTGTATTTTGAAACCGTAGCAATTAGCCTGTTGAAATTTGTCAGTCTTTTTAAAAAGTACATTTTTGTTATATCTTTTATTTTTACATTGCCAAATTTCCCTCTGCATTTTTCCTCATTTCCCCTCCCAGAGGCCCATCACATATAACAAAGAAGGTTTCTTTTTCTTTTGTTTTTTTTTTTTAAGAAAAAAAGGAAGAAAAGAAATCAGCAAAACCAATGAATATATCCAAAAAGTCTGAAAATATATGAAATTCCATGCTCCTGAAACTTCTACCTTTGCAAAGGAGGGGGAGGAGGTATCTTCTCATGCCTGTTCTTTGGGACCATGTTTGTTCTTTGTAATTTTACATTAATTTTTATTACTTTGTAGTGGTTGTGGTTCTTTCCATTTGCATTGCTGTAGCAATTCTGTGTATTATTTTCTTTGCTCTTCTTACTTCATTGTGTATCAGTTCATGTAAATTTTTACATGATTTTCTGTGTTCATATTTCATACACTTTTTTTATAGCACAGTAAAATTCCATTACATTTATACACCACAATTTATTTACTATTTCCTAATCAGTGGACCTCTACTTTGTTTCCACTTCTTTGCTACCACAAAAAAATGGTGCTGTAAAATAGTTTGGTGTATATGAAACTTTTCTTTTGTCAGTGAACTATTTGGGGTATATGCTTAATAGTAGAATGTCTGGGTCAAAAGGTATGGGCATTTTAGTCGTTTTATTAGCATAATCCCATATTGCTTTCAAAAATGTTTATACTAATTCATAGCAGAGCCAGTGCTAGTGTAGGGTAGGATAGAAATAGCATTGGCTGGGGACTTTTTAGATCTTGGCAACACACCATACTCGAGAGCCTAAGCCACTATATAGTAAATTGGGAATGTAGCCACCTTGTTTCTCCTTGGGAGGAAAAATTAAAATGAACAATCAAATGACCAATCAGTGGAACTATTTGACCTGTTTATTGCCAATCTTAAGCAAAATGAGTAATGATTGAATAAATCAGTGTACTTTATTTAACTTATCTAGTGTTTAAAGTTGAATACTGGTTACTCTCAGAAGAGAAAAAGAGGCAGATAGGTAGGTGGTGCAGTGAGCTCTGGCCTTGGAGTCAGGAGGACCTGAAATCAAATTTGGCCTCAGACACTTGACACTCACTAGCTATGTGACCCTGGACAAGTCACTTAGCCCTGACTGCCTCACCAAAAACAAAAAAAAAAAAGAGAGAAGAGAAAGAAAAACGAGCATTACAGGCAGAATCCTAGGAACAAATCATTTTCATGTTGAAAGAAACATGTGCTTAAGAGTCATCAGGAGAAACCACACACACACACACACACACACACACACACACACACGAATTTTTAAAAGTTTTTTTTAAAGAATTGTTACTCCACCACCCTTTATTTAGTCTCAAATTTTAAAAATCCTGGTAAAAGCAGTAATAATAATTTGTCATTGAATTGCTAACCAGAAGAAAGGGAAACTTAATCACATTTGACCTGATTTAAGTTGTAAACAATAATTTATATAAATAACAGGCTAGAATCTCAGAACCAATTGTAAATTAAACTAGTATAGATTCTTTGCTTCTGTTGGCATGGATTGTGAGGTAATGGGAAGAAACCTCTCAAATATATACATATTTCTTTGGAAGTGAAATGTTTTTGGGAGGATTGAAGCCATTCTCTGCTTCTGTCATTATGGATAATTTTAAATAAACAACAAACAAGAGAGGAAAAGCATGATATGGATGATATTTAATGAATTTTGAGAAAATTGTTGTTGATGTTGAGAGGGAGTGTAATATTGGGACTAGAGCCCAAAAGTCAGGAATACCTATATTTAAGTGCCACCTGTGTTATAGATCAGGTTTGAGAACCTGGGCAAGTCACTTCACCTTATAGTCCTCTGGGCAGTTCTTTAAGAGTAAGTTGTACATTAACAGCAGATTTCCAGTAAGAGGAATTTTTTCACTCCCGTTATGAACAGTAATGAAATCATAGGTCTGGAACCCCAAAAAATCTGTTGGTGTGTTACTATGGGCTTGATGTATCCTTTATGACCCCTTCTTTAATCTACCACAAACCCCAGGGTTCCTAGATTTGTTTTTCTTTGCCACTACTATTGCTTCTAACTGTTATACACAGTAGGGGACTTTTATTGTCCAGACCTGTGATTTCACTAGTTGCAGTGAACTTGCAATAAGGAAACTCCTTTTACAAGTGACTTTTTAGCAGCTGTTTTGCAATCATTCAATCAGCAAATGTTTATTAAACGTGCCAGGCGCTGTGATACCAGTACAAAGATTGAGACAATCCCTGCTCACAAGAAGCTTATTCTAGTGGGAGAGATATATGTATACAAATAGATAGTGAGTAAATGTTATACAAGGTAGTTAAATACAGGGTAGTTTGAGAGGGATGATCAGGAAAGAATTCCCATATATCTGTATAAGATAACACCCGAAGTATGTCTTAAAGAAAGAGAGATGGAGAAGCCGAGGTGGAGAGAGGGAGTTCATTCCAAGTATGTGGGATGGCCAGTGCAAAAGGTATGGAAATGAGATGTGTGAGGAAATGAAAGGATGCTCATTTGGCTGCATTGCGTAGTGTGGTAGGGTAATGAGCTGCAGTAGGTCAGGAAAAAATAGATTGGGACTAGGCTTTTTAAAAGCTAAACAGAAGAGTTCCTATTTTATCCTGGGGCAGTAGGAAGCCACCAGAATTGATTGAATAGGGGAGTCAGATGGTCAGATCTGTGCTTAAGAAAAATTACTTTGGATAAGATAGATTGGAGTGGTGAGAGACTTGAATCAGGTATTTCAGTTAAGAGGCTGTTGAAGTAATCAGAGTGAGAGGTGATGAAGACCTGAACTAGCTGGGTATGGAGAGAAGGGGTCAGGTACAAGAGATGTTGTAACAGTGGAAACAACAAGATTTGGCAACTGATTGGATATGTGGGGTGAGGGAGAGTTGGAAGTCCAGAATAAGGTTGAAGTAACTAAACTGGGAAACTGGTAGGACAATGTTACCTTTGACAGAAATAAGGAAGTTTGGAAGATGGGATGGTTTGGGATGGAGAGGACTGGAAGATAATGAGTTCTATTTTGGACATGTTGAGTTTTAAATGTTTCTGGGACATTCAGTGTGAAATGTCCAGTAGGCAATTGTGAGCTAGGACTAGAACTCATGGGAAAGACTTGGACTGGATATATGTATCTGTGAGTCATCTGCATAGAGCTAATTGAGAATATAGAGGGAAAAGAAAAGGAGAACATCCATAGTTAGGGGACATGTTGTGGATAATGAACCAGCAAAGGAGACCAAGAAGGGGGAGAGAGAGAAAACAGACAAAAAGAGAGAGGGAGAGAAAAAATAGAGAACCCAGGAGGAGAAGGTAGTCAACAGTATCAAATACAGCGGTTAGGGTATATACAGAAGGATAAGAGTTTTGACAATGCCAGTTGAATAATGAGTTCAGAAGGCACATTTTAAAGGATTAAGAAGTGAGTGAGAAAAAAGAATTTAAGGCAACAAGTGTAGGAAGCTTTTTCTAGGCTTTTGGCTCAGAAAAGGAGACATACAGGATGATAGCTTAAGGGAAGGGTAAGGTTTTTTTCATGGTGGGGGAGATTTGGGCATGTTTGATGGCATTAGGGTAGGAACCAGTACATAGAGATTGGAAAATAAAGAGGGCAGAAAGGTTGATGAAGACAGGAGAAGACTGGATTAAGGACACAATGAGAGGAGTTAGTGTTGGCAAGGAGAACGGCCACTTCATTATCAGAAATTGGAGTAAAGGAGGAAAGTGGTGATTTTTGGAATGTAGAGAACGAAGATAAAGTTGAATGGCGGCAGAGTCCTTAGTTAAGAGGGGAGAAGGAGGGAGCTGA